CAATAAATATTATATTTCCACCAATAAATATTATATTTATACCAATGAAGATAACATTTCCACCAATAAATATTATATTTCTAATAATAAATATTATATTTCCACCAATAAAAATTATATTTCCACCAATGAATATTATATCTCCGCCAATGAATATCATATTTCCACCAATAAATATTATATTTCCACCAATAAATATTATATTTCCACCAATAAATATATTTCCACCAATAAATATTACATTTCCTCCAATAAATATTACATTTGCACCAATGAATATTATATTTCCACCAATAAATATTACATTTCCTCCAATGAATATTAGAATACAACAATAAATATTACATTTCCTCCAATGATAATTATATATCCACCAATAAATATTATATTTCCAACAATAAATATTATATTTCCAACAATAAATATTACATTTCCACCAATAAATATTACATTTCCTCCCATAAAAATTACATTTTCACCAATAAATATTATATTTCGACCAATGAAAATTATATTTCCACCAATGAATATTATGTTTCCATCAATAAATATTATATTTCGACCAATGAAGATTATATTTCCACTAATGAAGATCATATTTCCACCAATAAATATTATATTTCCAACAACAAATATTATATTTCCAACAACAAATATTACATTTCCGCCAATGAATATTACATTTCCTCCAGTAAATATTACATTTCCACCAAAAAATATTACATTTCCTCCCATAAAAATTACATTTCCACCAAAAAATATTACATTTCCACCAATAAATATTATATTTTCACCAAAAAATGAGAGCTCAAACCTCACAACTTACTACCCAATAAAGACATTACTTTGTTTTCAGTCAAAAAAAAAGACATTACTTTGTTTCCAATTTAAAAAAAAAAATCTGTAATTCACAGCATTAATTTGATGGAGAGCATCTTGATATAACAGGTTCCACTGTCTTCAGGGACATCATGAATTTGATGGAGATCATCTCGGTAGGACAGGGTCGATGACCTACCTGTTGGTTACTATTGATAGCACCTTGCCTACCCTTAATTCTGAGAAAATTCCTTTAGTCCATTAAAACATTTTTGAATCACAACAGGCTTCATAGCTTCAATCAGCAAAAAATAACAGCTCAAAACTCACTACCCAATAAAGACATTACTTTGTTTTCAGTCAAAAATAAGACATTACTTTGTTTCGAATTTAAAAAAAAAATCTTTAATTCACAGCATTGATTTGATGGAGAGCATCTTGATATAACAGGTTCCACTGTCTTCAGGGGCATCATAAATTTGATGGAGAGCATCTTGATATAACAGGTTCCGATGTCTTCAGGGGCATCATTAATTTGATGGAGAGCATCTCGGCAGAGCAGGGTCGATGAGCTCCCTGTTGGATACTATTGATAGCACCTTGCATACCCTTAATTCTGAGAAAATTCCTTTGGTCCATTAAAATATTTTTGAATCACAACAGGCTTCATAACTTCAATCAGCTAAAAATAACAGCTCAAAACTCACAACTTACTACCCAATAAAGACATTACTTTGTTTTCAGTCAAAAAAAAAGACATTACTTTGTTTCGAATTGAGAAAAAAATCTTTAATTCACAGCATTAATTTGATGGAGAGCATCTTGATATAACAGGTTCTACTGTCTTCAGGGGCATCATAAATTTGATGGAGACCATCTCGGCAGGGCAGGGTCGATGAGCTCTCTGTGGGTAACTATTGATAGCACCTTGCCTACCCTTAATTCTGAGAAAATTCCTTTGGTCCATTAAAATATTTTTGAATCACAACAGGCTTCATAACTTCAATCAGCAATAAATGACAGCTCAAACCTCACAACTTACTACCCAATAAAGACATTACTTTCTTTTCAGTCAAAAAAAAAAGACATTACTTTGATTCCAATTGAAAAACAAATCTTTAATTCACAGCATTGATTTGATGGAGAGCATCTTGATATAACAGGTTCCACTGTCTTCAGGGGCATCGTAAATTTGATGGAGAGCATCTTGATATAACCGGTTCCGCTGTCTTCAGGGGCATCATGAATTTGATGGAGATCATCTCGGCAGGACAGGGTCGATGACCTCCCTGTGGGTTACTATTGATAGCACCTTGCCTACCCTTAATTCTGAGAAAATTCCTTTGGTCCGTTAAAATATTTTTGAATCACAACAGGCTTCATAACTTCAATCAGCAAAAAATGACAGCTCAAACCTCAAAACTTACTACCCAATAAAGACATTACTTTGTTTCCAATTAAAAAAAAATCTTTAATTCACAGCATTAATTTGATGGAGAGCATCTTGATATAACAGGTTCCACTGTCTTCAGGGGCATCGTAAATTTGATGGAGAGCATCTTGATATAACAGGTTCTGCTGTCTTCAGGGGCATCATGAATTTGATGGAGATCATCTCGGCAGGGCAGGGTCGATGACCTCCCTGTGGGTTACTATTGATAGCACCTTGCCTACCCTTAATTCTGAGAAAATTCCTTTGGTCTAATAAAATATTTTTGAATAAAGACATTACTATGTTTTCAGTCAAAAATAAGACATTACTTTGTTTCCAATTTAAAAAAAAAATCTTTAATTCACAGCATTAATTTGATGGAGAGCATCTTGATATAACAGGTTCCACTGTCTTCAGGGGCATCATAAATTTGATGGAGACCATCTCGGCAGGGCAGGGTCGATGAGCTCTCTGTGGGTAACTATTTATAGCACCTTGTCTACCCTTAATTCTGAGAAAATTCCTTTGGTCCATTAAAATATTTTTGAATCACAACAGGCTTCATAACTTCAATCAGCAAAAAATGACAGCTCAAACCTCAAAACTTACTACCCAATAAAGACATTACTTTGTTTTCAGTCAAAAAAAAAGACATTACTTTGTTTCCAATTAAAAAAAAAATCTGTAATTCACAGCATTAATTTGATGGAGAGCATCTTGATATAATAGGTTCCACTGTCTTCAGGGGCATCATAAATTTGATGGAGACCATCTCGGCAGGGCAGGGTCGATGAGCTCTCTGTGGGTAACTATTGATAGCACCTTGCCTACCCTTAATTCTGAGAAAATTCTTTTGATCCATTAAAATATTTTTGAATCACAACAGGCTTCATTACTTCAATCAGCAAAAAATGACAGCTCAAAACTCACAACTTACTACCCAATAAAGATATTACTTTGTTTTCAGTCAAAAAAAAAAGACATTACTTTGTTTCCAATTTAAAAAAAATCTTTAATTCACAGCATTAATTTGATGGAGAGCATCTTGATATAACAGGTTCCAGTCTTCAGGGGCATCATAAATGTGATGGAGAGCATCTTGGCAGGGCAGGGTAGATGAGCTCCCTGTGGGTAACTATTGACAGCTCCTTGCCTACCCTTAATTCTGAG